GGAAATAGGGTATAGTTAACTTTAACATCAGGGAAAAGGCTCTGGGCATTTAAAGACCCATATCTTGTTAATTCTTTGCACATTTGAGGGGGAGGATACTCCAAAGAGACAGGAAAGGCAACTTTTTAAAACTTGATTTAAAATTCTCCACTCACCCCTACACCTTTTAAAACCCTAGTTTCCAAGCAACCACAGGGTTTGTAAGGAGCTTTCAAGAGGTTTTATATGTATCAACATCAGCAAGACCAGAGTTCCACTCACTGCAGGCAATATTTATAGAAATCTTATCAAATGAGTTCATCCTGTTTTTAGGCTTCCTCCTTGAGCCACCGCGAGGCAGCTGCAACACCACGGTAGTTTCCACTTTCCAATTCCTCCACATGTAGTTTCTGCCACTCACTTCAAGACCACACCAGTTTCGGAAGGATCCATCAAAGCCTATATCATACCCTACGAATAGAGAAGGCCAACAGGTGGTTCCCCTGAAGTCTTGCACCCAAGCTCCGTAATCCAGGACCGTGTAATGATAACCTGTCACTGGGTATCAATCAATTATAGTCTCCATTTATTATTTCCCCTTCCCATTTCGGCAATAACGTGATTTCAATCTTGGCAATTTAAATTTAATCTCACTGGTCGGTCATCGGTTTTAGATCTCCATGTTCGGAATGTCAACAGCATAGTTTGAACTAATCATGATTTATTAAACAGAACTCTCAAATCCTAGTGAGGAATTTGTTTCCGACTGGAGGGGACACATTTTTGCCACAAGGGGGGCTGCAAAACTTACAAACTGCACAAAATAGGATAAAAACCAATCAAGCCGAAGCAAACCATCCCAACTACTAATGACTCAAAACAAATCGCTTTTAAACACAGCACATCAGAAGTACTAACTCCTGGCACAGATCAAAAACTTGGAGCTTGTATTTACAGGACTTGCCCAGGACCAATTATCTCATAACACCTTCACCTCACCTCACATAGGTATTAATAGATGATCATGACCAGCACAGAATTCCTGGACATCCACAAAGTAAACAATGGCTCCACCATGGTACAAAACAGGGAAAGGCAAAATGGGACTAACCTGCTGAATCGAGATGTTGATAGCCACTGTTTGTTTGGATGGTTATTGGGTGATTGACAAGCTAGGGGGAGACTATGCCAAGTATTTGTCCACCTTCAAGGCTAGTCCAGCTACTGCTGTAGCTCACAGTGCTGTTTCCTTGCTCTATGCATGGATCCAGCTATCAAGATGGGCAGACAGGAGCAAAAACAAGAAATGGAGAAGGGTTAGGGGTGGGTTCAAGCCTATGTACCAACATTGAGGGGTGGGTTCAAGCCTATGTACCAACATTGATACAGAAAAGGCTGGTTTGAAAAGAGAGCAACAATGGTTTGAAGAAAGAAGGAAAGACAGGTTTAAAAAAAGAAGGAAAATTCTGAAATGAATAATTACTTGCACAGAGACAAGATACAGGAGGACATATACATGTATGAGAAATAAGAGAATGCAAAAGATAAAGATGTTAGAGATGGTGGCGTTGTGATGGTGATGAGGGGATGAGGGTTATAGTGGTGATGATGTTGATGGTAGAAATAATGTTCATAATGATGATTAAGACAGTAATGACAATAATGATTTAGATATTGATAATAAAACATTTTGACAAACAATATAGACAACAACAATGGAAAACAAATACAACATCGTGACTTCAAATATTTAGCAAAAACGGATGAAGGAAAACTGACCGAAGGTAAAATGTATAAATCAAGAGAACCCAATGCTGACTTCTGACAACTCACGGGGCTGCAACCAGAATTTCTTGTCATTCGTTATCAGCCCAGCCATACACCTCTCCTGCAAGCCATTAGCGGCTAAATTGGGTCAATAGCACTCTGAAATGGGTTCCAGGGAATGTGCTAGACCATCGTTAGTGTCAGCAACACCAAACGACCCGCAGCGCCCTTGGAACAAACAGTTTGGCTTTTAAGTTGTGTCGTGGGGGAGCAGTTGTTTAGTTTGGGGACCCAGCCATCAAAGGGATAGATAACACCTTTTTTTTTTAAAGACAAGGATTTATATAGAACAAGTTCGGTGAAGTCTTACGGAGCCTTTGCGAAATCAATAAGAAAGAGTGTGAAACTGTGGTAAATCGTCAAGGTCACAGATTTATCTTTTTAAACCCCCAAACACTTCACCACTCAAATTTGGGAGTCCAATATAGGATTCATAGATAGTAGGTTAACAGGTGAATGTTCTTTCACTTCATTTCGGTCACTTTCACTCGATATCAGTCTATCTTGATCATAACCAACGTAGTAACAAAAGGGCAAAAACTGTTAGAGAAGTCTGATAATTGAAACTGAAATTGCCATTTCCTATGTGGTATTCATGTTTCAAACCAACATTTCCTTAACACCCTGCAAGTGCCAGTACAGTTGAATCATTAAACGCTGGCGCCAGCATCCTTCTGAACTTATCAGGGCAGATCAGAACCGATAAGGTAACGGACATGTTCTACCTCAAACTCATGTCATGTTCGGATATCTGGGCACAACTACAGGGAAAGTGCTGTTGAAAGTTTGTCTCCTGGGGATTTTTCTCAAGGGAAATCTGAGGGTTTTCTCTTTCGGATTACTGGGTTACTTTCACAAAACTACGGATCCAATGTTTCAGCTAAGCCTATGCTGGGAAAATCCAACTAAGAAAGTAACTTTTTATAATGTAAAACGTCCTTATCCTGTCTGATCGAAACAATTCTTGCGATTAAAACGGGTGACTTAACCAGGGTAAAGTCACTGAAATAAAATTCCACTTGCAACAAATAATTATGTACTAGCAAAAATAACACCGTGGTTAGTGAAGTAAAAAGGTATCATTCATCAAGAAATTGGCCCAATCACATTTTATATCATATCCTTATAAACCTCTTTCTCTGTTACTGCAATCCCCAAACCAAACAAACCGTACAACTAGCTTAGTAAGGAGAGACATTAAGATAAAATTTGATCATTTACTTCAAATATTGAGTCCTGGTTGTACATTACATGGGAAGATACCTCTATTATGGTATAACGCTCAGGGTGTAATGTGAGTTTTCTACCATAGAGCCAGCTTATCAATCTTGAAACAATGAAAAGTCTTATCTTAATGGTTTCAGTATTCGGCTTGATTCTGTCTGCCTTCCCTCCCAGGGATGTAAACATTTAGATTGTAAAGATTATCCTGAGGGTTTTTTTCTACAAAGGTTCACAAACCCATGGAGAATTTTTGTGATGTGTCCAAGTCTAGTTGTGGACATGCATGTGGAAAGAGCCATTGCAAGACAATTTGGTGATTGACTGGGAAGGCAGACAGAGGACTTTCTTTATGCTGAATTTCACAACCTGACCATAAATTCCAGCTGACATTAAATTAACGAGTGTAATTCTGCCTTCCCGGCAATCCATGGAAAGAGGAAATTAAGGGGGAAGGGTCAGCCCCCCCATTGGTTGGATAATTTTACTTGCACCAATATTCCTCCCAAACCTTGCTCTGTCCCAAATGACTCTCTACACCAAATACAAAATCTCAATCTGCCTGCGCTCCTTGTAAACATTACAATAATTGATCAAACTTTGCTTGTTGAATAATTTGATTCAAGCAGTCAAACTTTCCCCAGCTGATTGAAAGTGCCCTTAGGAGGTGTGAAAATTCTGCAGACTAGATCAAATTTAGTTTCAACTGTGGTTTATGGAGACTAGAGAGGCATATGCAGACCACATGGAGTACATTTCTCATCCCATAGCAGAAGAAGGAAAGACTAACAGATTTGGGGTCGGTTAATGAGGGTTTTCAGAATGTCTGGGTTTGTTTCAAGGAATTAACCCTTAAAGATATACAATGTAAGTCCTACAATCCTGGACAAATCTCGTTGGAACATGCCTCCCCCTCGCCAGTGTTGTTTCTCATTGGGTAAGCTGGGCCGAATCTTGGTCCAATAAATGAACGCAACATTGAATGAGGGAGAGGGGGGGTCTTTTCGCAACGCTTCCCACAAGGTGTTCCAACTATTTTGTCCAGGATTGTCTGAGTTTCTTAGTGGAAAGTGGGGGTCATGGGTGTGGGTCTGTGTTACCCGGGAGGGTGGGGATTTGCCGCGTTGCCGTATTGGGTGCTGCCGTGTGATGCTGTAAGCATTAGATGGTTAAGGAATGGAATAGATAA